TACAGGTATGACAGCGATAGGACATCTCACATTCATGTTCCTTAATGTGCTCCAGAAAGGAGTCCAATTCTTTAAACACCCGACTACATTTAGCCATGGAACACTTGAAAACCTGTAAATAGTGAAAAAATGTTTATCAACATTCAAAAGAATTGCACATCTATTTATAAACTGCCAACATGTAGAATTCAAAGAACAGAGCCCTAAAAAGATGATTTTGAGTACTTCATGTGTACATCTACTACTATGATCGCTGGTAGGAAAAAAGGAGTTGTCTCATTTTGATTAGTTTGTTGTCTTTTGTTGTTGTATTTGATGGTAGAGGGTATTAAAAAAATTAACATACTAACCTGTTGGTTTTTGTGCTGCACCATATGAGATTTGAGGTGGAAGTAGGACTTGAAGCGACTAGGACAATACTGACACACGTAGGAGTTATCTATCATGACTTTGGTTCTAGTGTCTTCCTTAGGCTCAGTTGTAGCATTGTTCTCCTAGATAAAAATCACAATAAAATGATGCACTGTCATCACACATTTTTAATGAACATACAGGTATATAATACAAAATTTAATGTAATATAATAAATTCTATGATGTAAATTTAATTTTATCGTATGTCCTGTTTTATTTGGATTTCCCATAAATGCAATTTCATAAATTCACACAATTATGTATTGAACTGGATTTCAATTCAAACCAAGATTTTCTTTCTCTCATTAAGAATTCATAACTGACTAGCATTTATAAATAGGTCTGGAATAAAACATTTGATCTAAAACCACTTTGTAATTAATTTTTCTTTCTATAGACACTGACCTGCTCTTTCTCACTGCCTGCGACTTTATTGGTTTCTTCCCCTTGTTCCGTAGTAACATTTTCCACCTGTAGAGGGGGCTGTTCTGGTAATGTTTTTCCAGTTCCTGAAGGCCAAACCTGTAAGATGCATGTATATATAATGTATGTCATAAATTATGATTGTACATGTACTGAATCAATTTTCACTAATTTTATTAATTTTTTTTCAAAAAATTTAAATATGTATTTAGATCACACTGCATTATAATTAGATCACTACTTAAATTCTTTCAATTAGATTTTGAATTAAACAAAGAAAAACCAATATGAGAAATCCAAACCTTGTGTGTATTCATGTGTTTTTTGACATTGGACTTTTGAGCGAAGGCTCTCCCACAGACAATGCATTGGAAAGGCTTTTCTCCTGTGTGTGCTCGTATATGCTGCTGAAGGTCAAAGTTTTTAGTGAAGGCTTTGTTACAGTACTGACAGATCAGTTTTTTCTTCTCTCCCTCCACGATCAAGCCGCCATTTTTACATCGCCTCATCCTCACTCCTGCAGTTTCTGTCCCACTTGTCAGCACTGTGACTAGGTTAGCATGAGCCTGGGCAGATTTCCTTCCTAAAAAATTAGTAATCCATGAATGAATACCTAGAAGTCGAAAATACACAAAATCTGGATTTAACATGTTTCACTTTAAATATTTTGGTATACAGATGTAGGTAATATAAACTCGAGGTCCATGGGTCACATTGCTCACCTGAATACTTTGGCTAGGATAAAGCAGAAATCAGTAATAAAGAGGTCATGGGCAAACATATTTTATTTTACTCTACCTAAAGATGCTTCTAACTTCTAAATAAAACTGTAAACCAATTTTATTTGTCTGCAAGATATATCTGCAAGTTTCGCGACCTAATTTAACTCGCCCAAATTAATCTCCGAGAACCAAGTATTTTGCTTTGCTTTTGAATAAAATGTTTTCTCAGTCACGGAAATTAATCGTCACAAATTGGTTTGAAATGGAAAACCTTAAAATTGTGTTTTTACCAGCTTTAGTGGGACTAGGTTTGACTATTGTGTTGGCGATACTCTTCTCTGCCCTTGTGACTAGTGTTGGCGGCTGAGTAGGGGCTGGCTGGATTTGAATATGAGTGGCCGAGTTAAAGGTGGTGGTGCCGGTAGGCAGGGTGGAGGCACTGTTGATGGGACCCAGGACAGTCACACTGTTAGGAGACTGGGAGGGATAGGATGCCACCTGAGACAGATAGGATCCACCTGATGAAACAGGGGGTCCCTGAAAGCCAAAAAAAATAAATATACATCTAAATCATTTATTTTGCATCCAGGTGCAAATTTTTCGTACAACAGCCCTTTTCTGACATTACTGATTATTTTTATAGAGATATACTCTACAATCATGAAGAATTTTTTTAACATACAATTTTGTACACATCTATGTACCTCTGAATTTTAAAAAGAATGTTAGATGTACATAATTTAAAATAAGTCATAACTGTTTAATTCTAATACCCCCCCCCTTCTCTTACCAGCTGTAATGTCTGGTTACCAAGCGATTGATCAATATTAGCAAATGACATCAGTTCATCTGTTAACACCACATTCTGAGCAAGAGCTGAAGCTGGTGTCATGTTACTGTAAGAGGGAATGGAGGACTATAAAAGAAAATTATAAATTATTCATAAAAAGCAATTGGTTTCTGAGAGCTAGCTAGCATTTGTAGCACATACATGGTTCACCATACTACACCATATGTTACTGGTAATTTTTGTGTTGACTGTGTACATATATAACATTTGCTGCATTTTTTTAATACGGGAAACACTATGCTATATAAAATGTTTTCTGCAGATTAATTTTTTTTAATATTGCCATATTCTCACTTTCTTTTGGCAAGGAATTTCAATGGATGCAAAATAACAATTTTTTCCCCCTACAAGCAACAAACAAACCTGAATGATCTGTGGTGCCCTGCCAACAGTAACAGTTTCTGGGGCAGGGGCCGCCCCTCTAGCATTGGTGGCAAGGACAATGTCCTGAGCATTCTGATTGGTCCGAGAGACTGACTGTTGCACTATGGGGCGAGGGCCATTACCATGATTACAGCGAGACTGTTTGTGGCTCAGAAAGACTGACAAGGAGCAAAACTGCTTCTTGCACTTGCCACATTGAAAAACATCATCTTCATCAACTAAAACATGTAAAGAAAAGTTTAATTAAAAATTAAGGCAGAGGGTATAAGAAAATTCAAGTAAAGAAAAAAAATCTCTCAACACTAATAAAGTCTGATATGCATCATTTAAAAATAACATACAATCATGTACATTTTCTAATAAGACCTTTTGTGCTCCTTCTATCTCTTATCTTAAATATTAATTATGCCCCAGATCAAAGGTCCCGTGTCACAGTAGGTGCTGGTAAGAAGAAGATCACTCACTGCTCAATGGCTCTAAGTGCTAAGTATAGGACAAAATTTGTAGCTCTCCACCGGCAAGTGGTGGTGTCTCCATATGGGTGAAAAATTCTCCAGAGGGATGTTAAACAACATACAATCAATCAATCTATTGGTACAGAAATTTTTGATGTCACCTCAACTGTGACCTTTGAACTACATTTGAATTTTGAAACCCTTATCGATAAAACATTGTACAAGTGTATATCACTTCAGTCTTCTCCAACTCTAGAATTGTGTTAACATTGCCTGAGGGTATAGTGTTTCACAAACACATCTAGTATCAAATTATTTCTGAGCATCTAAAACATGTCAAATGCCATTTATGGAACCCTAATATTGAATATTATTGATGAGGGAGACACCTTTATATGACTTTAAAGGTCTGAAATTTCTTTTATGGAACATTTCAAGAACAAATTTATATGTTGAATATTTATAATAGGAGTTATCTTTCTTACCAGGAGTAGTCTCCGTGATGACCTGGGAATCAATCAGGGACTGGACGGCCACGGCTGTCTGGTTGTCCATTCCTGGCACTATAATTAAAAGGACATTCAGGATTGAAAGATCAATATTTAAACATTTACAAAGATTTGATTATTAGTTATTTATATTCCATATAAGTGGACATTTTAGTGAGGATTTTATCTTAATGGCATTATTAAGCAAGGGTGCTGAGATCGCTAAAATTGAATATTGCTAAAAATCAATTGCGTTTTATTTTAATACTTGTAATAGCTTCTTAAGTGAGCATTTTAACATTGCTAAAATTATTTCACGCTAAAGATAAAATACCCATTTTTAAAGACAAATCGCTAAATATGTGTCTCACTAAAATTTCCACTTATACAGTAAGTAGATACTACATTGAGACTGTATTTCATCTATATGACAGGAAAGTATTGAGTTAATGGGAGAAAAAAGGATTCAAAGGAAGATAAAAGGGAATGAGAGAAAGACCAAATGAGAAAGAGAGTGCATGCATCAACTGATCAAGACAAGGCTTCATTTATTGTTACAATTAAATGCTTTCTTTACATTTGATCTGCAGAAGATGTTTTGTAACATTGCAGAATAAGCATGCAGGTTTAAGCAGATTTGTGACTTTTTTCTGCAACAAACATTGAATGAATGACATTTTAACGTTAAGATTTAAATCAATAGGTCTTTATTTATGTGAATGTAGTTAAAGATTGTATTAAATATTGATCTCTGACTATATATAGTTGTGGAAAATCCTTTTACATTTTTTCATATTGGGAGTAACAGATGGCAGTGGAAAAGAAAACATGCATATATCTTACTTGAGTTTAGAACTAACTTACAATCGCAACCTAATTCTCAGGCCTTTTTGACAAGCAGAAAAGAGATCTTGAATGTGTTAAGTAAGGCATCCATGCAAGACCATATGCACCATTGTGAACTTTGAAAAAATTTAGATCTAGGTCGACCTTGAAGTGAATTCAAGAACCATGAAGAAAGATGTGATTGAAGTAGATTTTAAAAAATATGAGAAAAATTGTTCCATAGAAAAAACCAGAAAGCAGAAAAATATTATTCAGTACGTGCAGCATGAGCTAGTTAAGTATTATTAATTTGTAATTAAATTTTCAATAGTGATAAATATTGTCATCCTATATCCATATAAGCTTCCATCCAACTTTTTTTTGCGATCAATCCAAGTATTAAAGTATTGCAGTGGATAAATCTAAAAAATTTGTTTATGTCTTATTTTCTATAAAAACACCATGATAATTAATTTTTATTTTATTGGATTTTCTATTTTGTAAGAAACACTTTAAAAGCCGTAGTATTTTTTAATAATATTTTTTGTAATTTCCATAATTAACAGATCGAAATAAGATGTATCAAAAAGACTTCAAAGCCTCTAAGCACAAAACAATATATAATACTAAGAATTAGATCCGCCACATAACACTGTAGGCCGACTTAATAATGCCATTCCATTGACCTTCCCAACACCCATTTTACCCCCTCCGGGATGCATTGTGTTTCAAATTTTAAAACTAAATTCCAATATGTTATTTAAAGATTCTCGTAAATTTTCCATCAAAAAAGCATCAAGTGACGTATATTTAAAATTTAAATGCTTAATAATTGAAGCAAGTGTAAAATCTTATTCAAGATATGTCCAACATTGTTTCGAGTAATCAAAATGGCGGAACACCCGCATCCGACGCTTCACAATTGATAGAACAGCCTAAGTTTTATATCTCAAAAAATAATCGCTCAAACGTATGAATAAAAATGATAACCTGTATATGTCTCTAAGAACTGTTGATTCATGGTCAACTATGTTGCATGTATTCTGACTAAATTCTGACACCAATCTTCATTTCCATTGTCAATATCCAAGTTATCGTTCCTGAATGATGACGTATGATCACGTGCCTCCTAAAACTGAAAGTAAAAGAAGGCCGGCAACTTCACACGAAAACAAAAAAACAAAATGATTTTCTTGTTTATAATAACTGTGCAGTTCAGCATTTTGAATGCTATGAAGCCAAACTTTATTTTAATGCTGATGGATGATGTAAGTTTGATAATGTGTCATTCTATAGATCTTCTGTATCTGACATCCGTATTGATCAGTTGATCAGATCCTGTTCGGCTCAGACGGCTGTTGATCTGACCTGTTGACAGCTGACAACCTCTTTACCTGTTCTACATGTAGTGGGTGTGTTTGAACGATGTAACCAAACAAGAATATTATGCATATAATCCGAGAGACATTGGAAGAAACAGAGATATAAGCTTAGGATATAATGCCAGGCGCGGATCCAGGATTTTTTCCCTGGGAAGGGGGGGGGGGGGGGTGTTCCACCCCAGTCAAAAAAATCCAGCACTGAAATTTCTTGGCAAGCAAAGCAAAAAAACCCCTCCTTTTTCAAACTTGAAAAACTAATTTTTTTTTTCAGCCACTTTGCAATCACTCTTTCTTGGTTTAGAATATACATTTAAAATCTCTGAAAAATCCGGGGTGAGGGGGTGAGGACTCCCTAACCCCCTTCTAGATCTGCGCATTAATACCAACATTTGCAAGATTTGTGAAACACTTAATTAATTAAGTCTATATATAATCAAATGATTATAAAAACATTTAAAGGCTAAAGTACATCAGAGAACTACCAGGGTATATAAAATATAAATTTAAAAATCGTTTTTAAGTGTCTCAGGTACTATGATACTTCGATGATCACAAATCTGCCCCTCGACCTCTTCTTAAAAACTATTAAAATGCTTGTGAGTTCAGATTTCTATTGATATCTATCAGTCAGGGAGAAATTATGTGAAACTCTGCTGTCTCCAGCTAGATTACCATGTACTAGTATAATCGACCACTGAGTTACTGGGTGACATGTACAAGTATCCAATCCTGGTTCTGCACTTTTCCTCTTTTTTAAGGTCCTCAAAACACTAATCTAAGACTACTCATAAATTCTGTTGTTTAATTAAGCAAGAATGATTTTGGCAGACTTGTCGCTAAGGCTTTCACCCGAGGTACTCTATTCAAAGGATGAAATAATAGAAATTATGTCTGAGTGATATGTGTAATTCATTATCCATCTAATTTGCATGATTGGACATATAGATGGGATGGGGTGATCTAGGAGTATTTGGAGAACCCAACGAAGAGACACCATTCCTGGATCAGATGGCAGCGGAGGGCATGCTGTTTCCTGACTTCTACTCTGCCAATCCATTATGCTCACCATGTAGGTTTCAAAAAGAACTCTGATAATTCAATATTTCAATTATTCAATATATGCAGAGTTGTTCATATATTGATGTATTTCTGCACATAAAATTATAATTCTTGGAAGTTATTTAAAGGTAGAATTTCAATTACCAGTACACTTTTCTTTCTCAACAATGTAGATAATTTTTACTGGAAATTGATTTAAATCAATCTCTCCAATGTGGCGGTATGTAAATTATGTCTTCCTTCTTTCTTGTAGCCAGGGCTGCACTTTTGACTGGACGTTTACCAATAAGGAATGGATTCTACACTACGAATGACCATGCACGGAATGGTACTTAAATTATTAATCAAAAAAGTTCACTAAAATTGTTAATTTTTGTTTGTTTAAATTGTTTTTGCTGCAGCTAGACTATTACTGATATTTTTAAGAGAATGTCGTGAATGTAACCTTTCATTTTGCATATATAGTGCAAGACTTTTTTAAAAATCATTCTATTTTTCACAATAGCATACACCCCACAGAATATTGTGGGTGGAATTCCAGATGAAGAAATTTTGCTGCCAGAACTTCTTCATAAAGCGGGATATCAGAATAAGCTAGTTGGAAAATGGTAGGTGCTGGATACTTGTATCTGCATGCAGTTAAAGCCCTCTGAAATTGTATACCACAGTTAATATAAGATGGTAAAGTCTACCATAATTTGCATGGGGATCAATGTTGAATGCTTGTAGTAGTGTAAGATACAAGGCATCCTACTGGCTTGGGCTAGTACGTTAACTCTTTTGGTGGAGCACTTGACTGGCAAGCCAGAGGCCCAGGTTCAATCCCAAGCAGAGGCAATAAAATGACTCTGTTACATACTGTCTTGATTTAAAGATCTTTTTGCTTTGTGTGAGGGGATGCTCCACTTCAAGAGTTGCTCTGCTATTTTTAGCGTCATTTCAGGCACTTGGGTCAACAGAAACAATACTTACCTCTGCAGCATGGGTTTGATGAATGGTTTGGAGCACCAAACTGCCATTTTGGTCCCTATGACAACGTCCACACTCCTAACATTCCGGTATATAGGAACTCAGAAATGATAGGGAGGTGGGTGAAATCAAATGGCCACTGAAAAAAAATGGAATTGATTGAATGGAATGATAAATTTGAAATGTATTTTAATCATTCAAGTCGAGAACTTAAATACTGTATTTGTTAATTTCTTGCTGGTAATAGATATAGTTTAATTTAAAATATTGATGCGTATTCAATGAGTATGATGAGAAAGAGAGGAAAATCAAGAGGCTTTTATTTAAATTATATGCTTTGTATTAATTTTTTAAAAAGTCTTGTACAATGTTAAATCTTGGTACCTTGAACATTGATATCTCCAAAACTTTGAATTTGTAAAAGTGATTTAGATGTCCCAACCATTATGCTTTAAGTATTTTACATTTGGTAAAAAATGTTATTATGTAATATTTTCCAGATATTATCAAGATTATAAAATTGAAAAGAATGGGGAATCCAATTTAACACAACTTTATACGCAGGTTTGAGAATTTTGAATTTCTTTTTGTGATCCATCTTTCATTTAATTCTAATGTTGAGATATATACACGTAGTATTTTGGTGCTATGCATAATGAGATTAGAGTATACATGTACATTTATAATTATCCTTTCTACCATGATTTGATTTTCTACCATGATTTGATTTTCTTGAAGGAGGCAATAGAATTTATTACCAGGATGCACAATAAATCCAAGCCATTTTTCCTGTACTGGGCTGTAGATGCTACTCATGAACCATTGTATGCTTCCAAGTCTTTCCTGGGAACCAGTAAAAGAGGGCTGTGAGTACCAGTCAATAGTAGTATCTTTAATGCTTCTTAAATCTAAAAAAGTTTACTTTCTATTTATTTGGAACCAGATGTACATATTACATATTTCAATCATTTTTCATGCATCATTATTTCTGACACACAATGTCATGTTGTGTATTAATTATGAAAAACATATTTACTGATCAGAAACACTGAGGTTTCCATGAAATTTAATATCAGTTCCTTGGGAAAAAAAATATGAATCAATAATTTCTTGTGATTTTTTCTTATTTGTGATGTCTTTAATACATTATTTTAATTTCTTAAAAAGAAATACAAAAGGTCTGTTCATGACAAATATTGACACACACGATGTGACCTTTATACCTGATATGAACACTCACTCAGAACAATCAATGTTCAAAATGAATAGTTTTTTTTATAATCTACTCTTTAGGTATGGGGATGTTGTGAGAGAGCTAGATTTTGCTGTGGGAAAAATTCTGACCACATTAAAGAAGCTAAAAATAGCCAACAATACTCTGGTCTTTTTCTCCTCTGACAATGGTGGTGCTACATATGCCAAAGAACATGGTAATTTTATACTTAGATTTTCTTGAGTTTAACAATTAAAAAAAAAGAAGCTAAGAAAAAAAAACTATGAAATACAGTGCTTCAAGTTTCTGAAAGCCTTAAGAATTAATAAAAAGCTTTTATCAAAGGCTGTTTGAGTGATAAAAAGCGGACAATGGGGGGGGGGTTAATTTGTCTGTCTACTTGTACTATTCCAGTCATACTGCTTGATTATATGCAAGTTTTACTTGTATCTTTTTATTCCATTGCAAAGAGTTTGAGCGGATATTGTGATGCAATATTGAGTGTTTGTGAAACGAAAGTGAAGTAATTTGCATTGCGATCACTTTCAAATGCTACCTTGATTTATAGATGTGCTCTTAAATGTGAGGGAATGCTCTGCTTTGCTTGTCTTTGTTTTCTGTTTTGTAAATAATATGATACCTTAATCTTTTTTTCTGATTTTTCAGGATAACTAAATTATCTCTTTTGGTCCCGTATCAGTGTTTCTTTAACTCAGAACAATATTCTTTTTAGCCAGCTGATACTTATAATATACAATAATTTATTATGTAGGGGGCAGCAATGGACCATTTCTGTGTGGTAAGGAAACAACATATGAGGGAGGTATGAGAGAACCCACAATAGCTTGGTGGCCAGGGCACATCAGACAGGGTCAGGTAGGGCAGTCAAACATTTAATAAACACTTATCAACAAACAGTGGTCAACAAACACTCTTAGACCATTGACGTCTTATTTTGACTGTAAGAAATTCAAAAAATATAAAATTGATGTAAAGAATTACAGTTTTAAGACTTGACTTTAGATCTCTTAGGATTGTGGCTCAATAATGCTGCATTTTGCAGTAATACAAAGTCAAAAATTTCATTCTTTTTAAAAAATGATTCTTGGGCAAGGAATTTTTTTTTTGATATTGTGCACTAAAAGGGACATTCAATTTAAGTCTGAAAAACTTTAATTCCTTAAAATAAACACATACCTGTAAATGTCAAGGGGGGGGGGGGCTTAAATGTGGTTGGTGAAATCAGTAACCTCCTTTAACCTTCTTCACTTAAAGGCTGGTACATGTACTGTACGTGTAATGTTTACAGTAAGGCTATAAAAAAGTAATTTCTTGGTTCTCAGGCCCTCCCTCATCTCTTCCAAGGGTGCCTCATTGACCCTTTTTATTTCTAAATCAATAAAATAAAAGCAACAAATTTCCTCCCTCAACATTTTTATACCCCATGCAACAATATGCATGAGGTATAATGTTTTTGACCCATCCGTCAGTCAGTCAGTCTGTCAGTCCTGTTTTTTTTTGTCAGCACAACTCCTCGTAAACCGATACACAGAATTTGGTCAAACTTTGCACATATTTAAGACACAATGTGTAGATGTGCATATTACCAGAAAATTCTGATTCCTTTATTTTTTTCGGGAATTTCGGCACTTTTCAACTTAGATATTTGGCCATACCTTGAAGAAAGAGATGAACAGTTTGTCAGCGCAACTCCTCATAAACCATTGCACAGAATTTAGTCAAACTTTGCAGATATTTAGGACACAATGTGTAGATATGCATATTACCAAGAAATTCTGATTCCTTTATTTCTTCCTAGAATTTCGGCACTTTTCAACTTAGATTTTTGGCCATACTTGAATATAGAGATGATCAGTTTGTCAGCACATATTTAGGACACAATGTGTAGATGTGCATATTACCAGGAAATTCTGATTCCTTTATTTTTTTCGGGAATTTCGGCACTTTTTTAACTGAGATATTTGGCCATACCTTGAATATAGAAATGATCAGTTTGTCACTGCAACTCTTTATAAACCGCTGCACAGAATTTTGTCAAACTTTGCAGACATTTAGGACACAAGATGTAGATGTGCATCAGGAAATTCCTTTTCCTTTATTTTTTTCAGGATTTTCGGCACTTTGAGTTTTGGGGGATTGTGGGTATGGGAGCTTGCTCACTTTTTCGTTCATTTGAGGTTCTTTACAATGTAAAAAAGTGCCTCATCATGCTTTGGGGCAATAACAATGTTAAACTAGATGCTGTCATGAGACAGTAATACCCGCACTAAGGTGTTTGCCTCTAAATACACGCTCCTACATATTGGGCGGCTTTCCAAGGAAAAAGTCAAAATAATTCTATAATTTGCATGTATTCATCAAATTGAGTATGAAATTCTCAGACCCTGTGACCTATAACTCAGAACCTCTTATATTTATTTTACATGCTGAATTCATTATATACCAGTTTGAATTCTATTAATGATGTAAATTAGATTTTGATTTAAATGTTTTGCTCATAATAGGACCTTTTTAAATTTACTAATCCCCCCCCCTCGACACCACAATCACACAGCACATACTTTTTGTTGGAATAGGCTAGATGGAAAAGTTTTGTTAAAACATCGTTTGTTATGAATTAATTCAAAATTTATTCTTGTACTATACATGTTAACATGTAAATTTCTACATCACATCACGTTGCGTCACCCATTATCATATTTTTAGATTAAACACCATTTGGCACACCTCGGCCGATTCCCACTTCATCTGATAAGGTGACGGAATCGTCGAAGGTTTGCCGAATGGAATTAGCACATGGCTGCAGTCTGGTGTGCAGTGGATTAATTCATTTTGTGTTATAATTGGATTTATATTTCATGAAGTTGAGACCTATGGCAGTCGGTAAGTACAAGTTTAAGTATAGTGGGGGGTAAAATAAACCCAAACGATAAGGTTAAAGTTCAAAAAGGGTCAAAGATCATCGCATGCCACACTAGACGAATTTCATATTGTGAAGTTATCTCCCGTTGTCGATGTGACATTCAGTTACTGCCAATACTGGTGCGGATCCAGAATTTTTTTTCGGGAGTAGGGAGGGGGATTCACATCTCAGTCAAAAAATTCCAGCCCAGAATTTCCTGACAAGCAGGAGAAAAAAAAACTGAAAACAAATAAACAAAATAAAAACAATGATAGTGTGGTCAATGTTTTCTAAGATAGGGGGAGGATGTCCAAAGTCATTTTTTATTTGCTTCAGTATATAGTCTTGTTTAAATAACATAGCAAATTCCAGGGGGGGGGGGGGATGGAGGGTT